ATCGGAAAAGGCGGCTGCATGAACAAAACCCAGAAAAAAATAAAAATAAAACAACAACAAGAAAAAGTGAAGAGAATCAAGAAACATTGGGGCAGAGTTTGCAACATGTTTCCAGACGCCGTAAAACAATCGCAAAGTAGAACTGACTGCTAATATACCTCAGTAAATATACATCGAAATATTATATATAGTTCATCCGCAATAACATGCATCGTAAAATTAACCCCAGGTACTCAATGCGCAATGCTTGAAAGGCATTAAAGTCCGCATAAATCCTATCCGATATGACCAGGTGTAAACCTGAACACTAGAGAGACTCGACCACTTTATATGGATATGCATGCACATAACATACTCACTCTCACACCATTATATATTATATAATGTAACAATTATAGAGTACACTAAACAATTTTACTATTATTTTAAACATTGCCATTACCGTTCACAATGCCAGCTCCTCGTTACTATCCTTCTCTCACTTAAGTTCATCCTTCGATACATAAGATCATCTTTGTCCGGAAAATTGAATCCATAAAGCTTATATTACTACCACGCCTCTCCACACCAATAACAAATAGAAAATTTGCAATTTAAACAAAAAGCAAAGATTGATTCAAGTTTATACCTAATCATATATTAAGTGATGCAATGTGAACGTTGCCAAATGTATGTGCATGTAACCGATGAATAATGAAGTTCATTCTAGACCAATTCGGATAATTGGAAAAGGGAGGCAATTCACGTATTAGCTTCGTCCTCTATAGAGTTTCGGAAATTTTATAAGAATATCCAATTACTTAATTTTCTGAGCGCTATTAAATTTCTTGGAATGAATATTCAAATCCGCCCGGAATCCAACAGTTTCGATTACTTTTCCTATCGAAATTACCAAATTATATACAAGAGTATTTTATTTCTTCTCTTACCTTAAAACTCGATTATTATATCTCCTTTTTTATATTCTTTATTAATGAATTATAATTCATTAAATTTATTGAAATTTTAAGAAATTTAAATACCATTGAAATCACCAATTACTTAAGAAGTCCATCTTTCTTATATAATTATTAAATCTGTTTCAAAAGGATATGGAATAATAAGAAAATGTATTACAATGAAATTACTGTAATATTTCTAATAAAATTATATAAACGATTTATGAACAATACATAAAATTTTACTAAACAAAAATTTGAATCCAAATCTGTTTCAAAAGGGTTTTAAAATAATAAAAAAATGTATTACAATGAAATTTCTGTAATATTTCTAACAAAATTATATAAACGATTTATGAACAATACATAAAATTTTACTAAACAAAAATTTGAAGAATTTTGTAATCTGTAAACGATTTTGTGACATCAAATTAACATGTAAAAAGTAGATTAATTAAACATGCTTAAAAGTAAATCGACAATAAATTTGATTTACGTAAGATTTTCAAGAAATGAAGCAGAAATTATTAAAAACGTAGCGATGAGTTTTAATAAATAAATTAGAAATATTATTTCGAATACGAATATTATTATCGTATAATTATTGCTTCATTCCATAATAAAGTACAATGCGACAGAAAAATGTGTATAATTAAGCAATTAGTGTAAATAAACAATTAAAAAAATTTGCGATAATATGAGAATTAATAAAATATAAGAACATTTTATTGATTTAATTATGAAATTATGAATTTTTGACTGCAATTGTTTGTTTTTTGATTAATAATAATTTACTTTTTTTTAAAATAATAATTTAAATAAACTATAAAACAAACAATAAATATATAAACATTAGGAAAATAATGAAAAATTTGATTGCGGGGAAATTCGCATTTGCCTTGGGTAAATTTATGTAATTTGTATTATGAATTTTATGTTTCAGAATGTAAAAATTGCAAGAAATTTGAAGAATTATGAAAACTTAAAAACAAAATTTATGATCAGAATGTACAGTATTTAGTGGCAAATAGATAATGATGTTTAGATGTGTAATAAAGATGAGTTGAAAAAAAATTGGATAAGCATTGTATTCGGGCGGATATATCCGACGTTCGTCCGCTTTTTTCAATAATTGATTGTTTTGTAACGGTAACGGAAATGAATAGAAATATAGTGGGAAGTGATTGCGATCAAAATAATATAAATTTTAAATAGTATTTCATAACTTAATTATGTGCAAACATAAAGTTCCATTAAATTTTGAATGAAGGTACCATGGAGGATAATTGCAGAGGCTATCAAAAGTCTTGTAAAACGCATAAAGAATTATGACATTTCTGTAATTACAATTTATACCGGTCGCGAATTCATATCCATCCATCCGTCTCGATAAAGCGTTTAAACTCTTCAACGCTTAAGACGTTCTTAATTAACCGGACGGATGAAACCTCTTCGCATCGCAAATAAATGATTACGCTGAAGTAAAAGAATCTCAGAAGAAGAAGAAAGAAAAAAAAACGCAAACAGACTTCCAGAATCCGGATGGACTAAAAACAACATCAACTAGCACCTTCTTCATCATGCGTCGTGCCAGTTTTATGCTCGACCATTTTACGACCTTCGTACACACACACACACTTCGAAAGCACAGGTAATTGCATTGGAATTAGCGAAATTGGAAACCGTCCGAAGATACAATTCAATATAATACAATGTATGCCGCCGCGACGGTTCTTTCCCGTCCGATGCAAATTTGGCAGATAATTGCGGTAATTAAGCGTAATTAAGGAGGGGAGAACGCGGCGCAATTAATCAATTTTGCCCATAAATGGTTTAATTTGCGACGAATCATTAATAACTTGCGTGCGAGCGTCGAGAACGCGGCTCAAATTAATTCCGTTTTAATTTATCATCGAGTCTTCGTGGACCTCTTGAACTCCGTGTGTCCATCCTCAATCACGAAAAGGAAAAGACAGAGAAAGAGAGAGAGGAAAAAAAGGAGTCTCTTCAACTGCTCACCGAGAGGTAACTAATGTTGTAATTGGCGGTGCCAATGGGTGCTGCTGGAGCTGGTGAACTGGCGAGAAGAAGCGCAATTTATTTTATTGCTCGGCCGCTTCTGCAAATCACTTCTTCTGCTCAATGTCCAGACGCCCTCAACGTTAATTAGCATCCGCCGAAGAAACAATAGCCTCCGCTTTTAGCACACTAAACACATTGTTACATTCTTCTACATAATATTACCTTATAAACGATCTCCGGAAAGAAAGACAAAAAAAAACAATTGGATGTTGTTTACAAGAAAATAAGCAATTCATTTAAACCTAAGGTTACAAACGATTTACCCTGATTTACATAATAGATAGATTCCTGAGAAAAACGTGTAACTCTTTTAATGGAAAAGCTCGAAAAGTATGCAAAAAAATCCAACATTTATTTTTTTAATTTTATTTTTTAACCGTATAAAGGCGAAATCGAGTAAGAAAGTACCGTGTAAAAACAAAAACGTGTAAAGAAAGTACCGTGCAGAACGAGAGATAGGTTATTTTCAACATTTATTAATTTTAAGTGTGTAAAAGAGAAAACGTGTAAAGAAATTACCGTGAAAAACGAGAGATAGGTTATTTTCAACATTTAAAGTAACAATAATTCTTTCACGGCTTTGGTAAAATCAACCCAAATTTAGAAAAGTACACCCTTTTTTTTATTGGCGATTCACAGCTTACAAAAGTTCAAAAATTCTGTCTTTAGGATGGTTATGATTTGCCAATATGGGAATTACTCAAGGTGTTTACTTGCTAAAGTATTAAAACTACTAAAACTACAGTGAATTATCATTAGAACATATAACAAAATTGGAAACACGATTTTATTGGAAGTTATGAATATACTTATTTTATAATTCTGTTAATAACATTAGTTAAGTAACTAATTTGATTCTATTGACAATATGAAACTTCTATTATATACTGTTGCACAACAACTGTTGCTCTACTAGAAAAAAGCCTTATCCCTTTGTAACCCCAAAGGATAGAGCCAAAAAAAAAGAAAGGAAATCGGAGTAAAACAATCTTGTGCGCGTTTAGTGATGAGTACGTGATAAGGAAGGGAAAAACAACGAGCGGAAAATGAGACATTAAAAGGATTCTTAATTTAATTCCGTGAGATTACAAAGGGCTAATTCGTGAAGAGCGAAGTGTGAAGTGCTGCGTTGGGGGAGAATCGAAGGGACAAAGGGATTATCTGTAAGGGCGAAGCATTCGACCGTTGCCTTTCGCCGTTCTAATCTACTCGGGACATCTCACCTCGCTCCCTTAATTAGGGACTCGCTTATAAAAAAAACAAAACTTGTCGACAATTTCCCAATTAAAATACGACCCTTATGAATTTGTCATCGTTACATTTGAATCTGGATTGCGTTTCCGAATTAATTTATTTGAAAAATTCGTATCTTTATTTTTGTTTGTTAATTTCTTGACAAGTACTAAATATAAACTATAGATTGATAATGTAACATATTTAGCTGTAATTTGTAGTCAAAATAAAGTATTTAGCAATTAAATAAAGATTACTTCAAAATTCAATAGGTAGTATAAAATTTGCAGTGCAATTAAAAGATTCTGGGAAAACTTATAGCTTTTTTTCTATTCTTATTGGGCCAAAGGGTGGGTTTTTCTAAATTCATGCTAATTCAATAAACTTGCTATCTGTTATTAAAAAAATACAATTATTTAGATAAAAAATGTAATAAAATATACCTGATTTTACGACCCCCAATAAATAACTCCCTCCACTTATTGGCGATTTTGTTAATACCTTTGCAAAAGGGATGTACTATAAAACGTGAGTTAATCATTGCAAATGCATCAGTTTCTTGCAACCTTTTGTGATAGTAACAACACAAACTTTCAGCAAAGCTAGAAAAATGAATTCCTTCAGCGAATACTCAAAGTTAATGTACGAGGATATAAGCGATGCCGAGACATTGGTATTGGCGATGGACAGAAATGCATCTACGAAGATATCAGTGATGCAGAGGACATTGGTATTGGCGTTGGACAGAAATCATCTACGAAGATATCAGTGATGCAGAGGACATTGGTATTGGCGATGGACATAATTGCATGTCCAAAAACATCAGTGATGATGACATGGATTTAGTAGATGAAAAGTGTAGTGAAAACGGTAATAATGATATACATAAAATAGATCACAAGAATGACTCCAGCTATGACGGCGACGATGAATTTTCCTCCGGCAACGAAACGGAATCTGACGAAGATAAAGAGTCCGAATATGAAGACTTTAAAGATAAACACTCCAAAGATGAAGACTCCGAAGATGAAGACTCCGAAGATGATGACTCAGAAGATGACCATAATGATAGTGATTTTCTACACTTTTATTATGAAGAACAAGGAACATGCAGCCAATATTATGAAAAGACGTACAATCCGATGGAACGCGGATATAAAAGATATAAAGCAAAACGTTTGCGTTTGTGGTAGAATTGTAATTATTTTGTTGATTGTTTTTTTTTAAATGTACATATTTATTGTTATTCCATAAATTAACAAAATTAAATAAATTTCGAATTCATCTAATATAATTTCATTTATTTATAACATAAGTCTCAAGCAGTGTCTTCACATTTTATAGAATTACTTACAATCTACAAGAGTTTGTAGTCCCTTAATTAGACAACTCGTCGACAATTTCCCAATTAAAATCCGACCCTTATGAATTTGTCATCATTACATTTGAATCTGGATTGCGTTTTCGAATTAATTCATTTCAAAACGTCGTATCTCTATTAATATTTTGAGATCTATTAAATATAAACTGTAGATTTAATATGTAACATATTTAGCAGTACTTTGTAGTCCATATTAAGTATTTACCAATTAAATAAAGATGACTTTAAAGTATTTTCAATAGGTAGTATGAAATTTGAAGTCCAATTAAAAAATTCTGGAAAAACCTACAGCTTTTTTCTCTTTATTACCAATTCTTATTGGGCCAAAGGGTAAATTCTTCTAAATTCATGCTAATTCAATAAACTTGCTACCTGTTATTAGAAAAATACAATTATTTAGATAAAAAAAATCATAAAATATACCTGATTTTATGACCCCTCAATAAATAAATCCCTCCACTTATTGGCGATTTTGTTAATACCTTTGCAAAAGGGATGTACTATAAAAGGTCAGTTAATTATTGCAAATGCATCAGTTTCTTTCAACCTTTTGTGACAGTAACAACACAAACTTTCAGCAAAGCTAGAAAAATGA